AACTTAAGCAGATGAGAAGCAACACTGACASAAGGCAGGACAGGCTCCTTTTGGGAGATATGAAACACCACTTTATCATGCCATTCCAATTATCTCCAACACTTATAGTAAGCCTCCAGTTATTCCATTTTTGTTACACAAATAAACTCTCAGTTTATAAAATAGGTCACGGTAAATTTTAAGCCCTGGTCTAAAAACAGCAAGGCAACTGGAGAAATAAAATTGTATGTGATATATGGTGGGTTAACACAGATGACCTCATGGCATTTTTTTTACCATAAACCTACCACAATACTAATGACTGCATATTTGCATCCCCAGTTCTCATATTTTAAAAAGAAATAGATCATTGCTAACATTTCTCAACCAGAAAAATGTCATCATGAAATATTAAAATTATAAACAGAGTCACTATAGTTCCCCTCGTCAAGTTAGGCACATTTCTCTCCTAACACAAACAGTGCTATTCAACAAATCAAGTCACCCATGGTTTAAAAAAACATACATAAAATGAAGAATATACCACTGAAGTGTTTGCCTACTCCTACAAGTTACTGTGATTCACTGGTTTTATTTATTAAAAAAAAAATAATTCCCACAGGTGGAATTTCAGAATTTCAGGTATTCTCCTGTGCTCATCTTCTAATGTACCAGCAAAATACTCAAAATCCTACGAGCCCCTGATTAAACCAGGAAGCAAATCTGCATGCACGCAATTACAGTGTCTGCAAGGGCAGACGCAGATGACAGTAATTCATACTCTAAGAAATGGGCTTGTGCATTTGGCAGATTAACTGTTCTGTATTCCATTGCTATGAGGTATGGAAACTGTACTGTGAAACAACCATTACTCATTCCCCCAGCTCTGAGCACGTAGGTCTATCAAAGGCAGGCCAGGCTGGAGAGGGTGGATGGGGGGCGAGGGCTGGAGAGAGAAGAGTCTACGCGTTTCAGATTAACACTTCTCTTGAATGGTTTCTTTTATTTCATTTCCCCTACTTTTTAAATTAGCAAATACAGTAGGCCCAGAAGGGAAATGTGCAAGGGGAAGAGGGAGAGAGGGGAGGGAAAGGGAAAAAGCAAAAGCAGCCAAAACTCTCCAGCTTGTTCATTAGGGGCTTTGTGTTTGAACATCTGAATGAATCATGTGTCTGTTTTTCATTATTCTCCATATGTATTTGTTCCTTGCTTTGTTCAGAGATYTCTGGCCATGCTGTCATGACTGTGCTTATTTGGTTTTATATATTGTTCTATTACAGGGTGATTGTTACTTCTCCTCTGCCTCACTTAGCAGTTATGCCACCAACAAAGAGCAATCTGAAAATGAGAGGTTATGTCAAAAGGTGTCCCTAGCGAACTCCCTTGCAGTCTATATGATTACTTTAGATCTCACTGCTTAATTCATACCRGGGAGAAATCCTTAGATAACACTGCTCCTTAGCACGACAGGAATGTTSTGGATATCTTTTCAAAAATCTGAGGAATACTGGAGAATGACTTAAAGTACATCACCAAGTGTTTCCCTCATTTTTCCAAGAGAAAACATAACACTTCTTGCTAACCAATAACATATCTTAGCAGATCTGCTGTTACATGGCATTTTTGAAATAATTTCCTCACTAAATTAAGTATTTTTTACTTTCAGYTTAACTCTGTACCTTGGTCAATGCACAAATGACACTGAAATAAAATCTGAAATCATGAATCATCTGATAATTTCCATCATCCCCTTGAATTTAATCCACCTTACTTTACTGGATGCACATCACAGGGTGATGTGTTAATTTAACAAGATCATCTCATACTTCACAGAAAGTGCACAAGATGCACGACTAGAAAGGAGTGAAAAAAAACCCTTTTTTTTTTTTCCTGTTTGTTGTTTGAATACTGGGTCTGGTGTGGGGTTTTTTGGGGGTTTGGGGAAGGGGGGTATTGTGTTGTAGGGATTTTTTTTGGTGGTTATTGTTGTTTGTTGGTTTTTGTTGGGTTTTTCTAGGGAATAGATTTTCCACTGTGTTATAGATAGTTTCAACTACTGAAAATATTGGAGCAAATAGTTGCATAAATCCATTCACTGACCCTCAAAGGCAGTGATTACTCTCCTATGCAGCACAGATTCAGAAAGAGTAAATAATATCATATCATAATTTTGTCTAAAAGTATGTAACCAGTCTTATGAATAGCTCAGTACTATATATTTTAGTTAAAGCTTTCSTCTCTTTCAWAACTTGAGCAGATGGGAGAAAAAARGTCRAGCYGAAAATRCTGTGAAGTAGGTGATTAGCAGATCCAATTTAAAAAAGAAGTGCTCAATGGCTCAGTATTGCACTACCTGGAATACTGAGAGGGTTTCCTCAAAAGTCTTCCCCAGGTCTGTTATTATTCACCCTTTTCCACATTATCTTGTCCAGTGGATTAGAGAAACCATTTATTAACTGTGAAGAGGATACTAAAGAGGTAAGTGCTGCAAGCACTCTGGAGGCTTAAGATTACACTCAAATCTTAGTAAATTAAAGAGTAGCCAGGAAAAAATAGGATAGAATTCAATACAGACAAATGAAAAGTTCTAGCTCTAAGAGCACACAATAAGGAATGCCTTGCTGGCAGCAGCAGTGGAAAAGAGTAACAGATCTGGGGGCTGCACAGGATCTCTAAGCATAAACCAGCACCAGTTTTTCTCATGCAACACCCAGTACCTCAGAGATGCATCTTTATTTTAAATACACACTTATTTATATGTATACATTAACAAAGAGGAGTCATGTGATCACAGAGAAGACAAATGAAACCCCTCTATACTTCTTAAATTTATAACATTTAGGCTGTCTAAAATCTTATGCCCATCTCCAAGTTCTTCAAGTAAGGAGCGAGCTGATTAGAGAGAGACCAGCGAAGCACAATATATTGAGAAATTTAAAACAAATTGCCTTTAAGGAAAAAGTTAAAGGACTATTGTTTAGTCTAAGGAAAAGGCAGACAGATCAGTCTTCAAACATATATGTTTGCCGCAAAAAGGAAAGAAATAAACTGCTCTACATGTCCACTGGGGACAAGAAAAGAAGCAATAGACTTAAATTGCATCAAGAGAGATTTGGGTTAGACATTAGGAAACGCTTCATTATAGTGAGGAGAGGGAGTGTTATCACAGATTGCCTGAGGAGCTCAAGGAATCTCCACCACTGGAGGCCTTTGAGCAAAGGTTTCAGAAATACCCCCCAGTAGGGTAAGAGCTGATCCTGCCCCAAGGCAGGTCCYGACCTCTTCAAGTCCCTTCCACTTCTGATTCCTGGGAAGCTTTTTATTTTTTTTTGGCAGCCTTACTGAAGAGAAAGGAAATTGTACCCAGCATTTCAAGCAGTAAAACACCTATTCTTTTTATGCCATAAAGCATACTGTTAATAAATCCAATTATGTTTATGATCTTTTAATGGCACCACTTATRTCATAAAAATCCATCTCTGAAAATACAAATAGGTATCTCTAYCCTACAGTGTAATACAACAGCATGAAAGCAAACTTACAGAAAATTCCAACTCATTGTTATATGGCTCCTATTAAAATAATCTTAAAGCTAACTATAAACATAAAGAACACCAAAAACAGACGCTTTTCTTTCTGAAAATTCTACCATTCATATTCTTTACAATATTTCCACTTGACATTCTGTGTTTCACAAACAGATCCGTTCCTTTCCTTGTTTACCACTTGCAATGGGAGCAAAGGAAGCTCTGCTCACAAGGGTATTCCTTTTTAATGCAATCAAAAA